TCAATTCATTTTTGTGAGACAATTTAAGTACACACTTAATAAAGGCGCTAAGTGGGTAAAGTTATAAAATATGGAACTTGTGTCTAAATATAATAATTTTATAAACCATCGCAGTTCTTATTCCCTACACAAACTTACACGATTTAGAATGAGTTTGCATTTTTTGTTCTTGTAATTTGCCTTGCTCTCTTTGCCACCCGTGAGAGTTAATGCGTTGTTATAAGATTTGTGGAAGAAATTATTTTCTGTGTGGCTACATATATCAATAAAAAAATAACCATTAAGTAGGATAAAGCACGTGCTTCAGGTATTAAGAAGAGGAAAGTTTCGCCATGTTATCGTGGCTTTAGCTAGTTTTATCGCGCACCATATTTCTTAATGTTCTAAAATTTCAAACTTCAAAAGTTACGAAATTCTAACATCTCAAGATCTCGAAGTTCGAAAGTTCCGAAATCCCGAAGTTTTACATTTCCAAGAGTGCCAAGTTTCGAAATTTCAGAATCTAAAATTGCTGAAATTTCAAAATTTCAATATTTTGAAATTTCAATGTTCCAAATTTAAAAAATCCCGAAATTCCAAAACATTGAAGTATGAAACTTTTAAATCTCCAAATCTTATAAAGGTTAAATGTTTATGTTTAAAATATTAAATCCTTGCGATCTACTTCCAGTAATATAATTTTATTCTACGATTGTTATCTTGAATTAGTTATACAGTACAAGGACGCTATATTTTTTTTAAGCATTTTAGGTCCCTAAAAATTTAAATTTGTTCCTCCATACATAGTTCCGATTTTACATTTTGGCTGCAAAGTACAAGTATTTACGTCTATGATGTTATCGCAAACATTTTATATCATTAAAAAAAATACTTATTATACCAAAGATCTAATAAATTTCGCCGCACTATAAAAAATTATGAAGACAAAGCAGCTTTTGGTCGAAATAAAATTTTTGTTGAACTAATTGTAAGAGATTTTTACCCAAAATATGTATCCACAATTATCGTGACGTATTTTAAATTCGAAAATGGAATTTTATGCAAAAAAACTGAAGTATTTGACTATCGTGTTACAGTCCAATAAAAAAGTGAAATTGCATTATTCTTTTCTAGATTGAACACATTTGCTTGTACATGAAGCAAGATTTATCTTTTAAAATAAGAATGCACATTTTGAAAAGGATTTAAGAGTATTTCAAAAGCTTCGTTATGATTTTATAAGTATTTGATATTACTAATATTTATTAATTTTTAAATAAAAAGCCATTTGCGCATATTTGAGTATTGGTTAGGAAATCACGTTTTTTGCTTTAAGATTAAGATATTGCGCCCAAACGTCGTAGACCTACCTCCCCTTGAGACCAATCGCAGTTACGGACGGCGTAAATCTACCTTTCAGACAGGATGCTTTAAAAAGCAATCTAAAATCACGGCAGTAATCCACGGTAAACCTCAGAGAATCGTTTTTGGCTCATTTGTGTTCCAAATGAAGCTCCTTAACCATTTTACTCGTTACTGAATGAATCAGTTCACTTGCGCAAGTGATAATTTCTTCGGAACAAATCTTTTTGCTTATTGAGTATGAAAATGTCCTGCGAGAAATAAATCGATATATTAATCAACTTTTTAGTATTTCAGGGAGTAATACAAGATTTTGTTGTGTCTCGTACGTGGCCATTTTTTGTAAAATTATGGTGGTAATTAGAATTAAATTTTTAAAATGTTGTTCATGCGCCTTAATATTTTGTTATACATACTGTGAGACGGACTTGATTACATTTCGCAATATTTTAGCGGCCTTAAAATATTATGGAAATTTCGAATGAGAAATGCTAAAATGTTTTCCAAATTTCTAAGTAGGGAATTCCCCACAAAGTAAAGTATCGGGTGTGAAATACTCCAGATATTCTATTCTGATAATGCTGTTATGTTTATTTGAAAGACAAGTAATCATACTTTCCAGAAGCATACACTAAAATTACAAAAATTACTGTTTTCAGCTTGTAGTATAAAATACTTTAAAATTTTTTAAATTGCAGAACACTTATTATTAACCTAAAAGTAGTGTCATATCTGTTCGTAACAACTGTAACTAATTACAGTTGATAAAAAACTTGTCATCATTTGATTAGTTCGCGGAATACTTCTAACAAGTTCACGGAAGACCGGTTACGAACCACTACTATTAGTCCAGTCAAATTAGACTTTGAAATCCTAGAAGCAATAAGTGACAATTTTAAAACACTAAATAGTTTGAACAGTCATAAGAAATGAAATGTATGCGTTTCAGATCAGTGAAAAGCTTGGCGTCATTATTAAAAAATAGGTATAAGTATGTGAAAAGTAAGTTTTTTAAGGATAGAAAAAACGTAATTACTTTATAAAGAGATAATTCACATTAACGAATATAGTCTAAGGTGGAGCTGAAAATTTAACTTTTAAAACAAACATGTTTTAGAATTGTAATATGTCAAAAAGAAAATTGCATTGTTTCTTTCGAAAAACAAAATTCATCAGCTGAAAACGATCTCTAATACTTTATTGCAAAATATACAAAAGTACCTTGTTTTTCTTTTTAGAGAGAAAATACAGAATAAAATTTGATTGATGAAATAAGAATTACTCGAATGTACATGCACGAAAGCATATATTGTATGCATGAGAAAACAGACAGTGGAAGATCGGTGTAATCAAAGAATGGAAGATAGAAGGTAACAAGAGTGCACTGAAAATTAAAATTTTTAAGGAGTTATCCAAATAACCGAAAGAATAATCCAGAGATTGATCTTTAATTTCATATCATAATTAAAGTCTAACAGTAAGTGAAATTAGCTCGTTAACTTCTTACTACAATGTGGCAAATCTAATTTGTGAAATACCTACAGTTCAAATGTAATAACTGTTATTCGAGTTTTTAATACGCTTCAATTTAAAATTTATGATATTATGAAATTTATTATATCGTAACTTTATTCGTTTTAATAATATAGTTGCGAACAGTTAATTTTGACTGACGCACCTGATAAATAAATCGTATTAAAAAAATAGTAAATTCATATTATGAACCAAATAATAGTTTTGCATATTTAATTTATCTAAATTGTAAAAATACATTGTGCGGTGGTATTTCTCACTATCGATTAATACAGTAGTTCCCAAATTTTCTCGATTCACAATGTGCTTGTCAGAATTTTCCATGAAATCACAATATTATTGTATCAATATGTTGATGACACACTTCTAAACTAACATTAGTCAAGTGTCATTTTAGTAAAAATGTTAATGTACGCTCCAGAACAAGAAATAGCATACCTAATATTTTTATATATTTTGTATCATCGACTAAAGAAATATACATTTTATTTCATCAGTCTATCTAAGATTGTTACTTATAAATTGCTGACAAGGGAAACAATTGTTTATTAGACCTATTTAACAACATAATCTAATTAAACGTATATTTAAATATTTTTTTAATAATTTTGCACCAAATATAACGGAGTATAGCTAACTTTTTGGATACATTATACCTCTGCATTCCGCAAATGTATCTTATCTATTTTTTATCTAAGAATCTGCTAGATTTTTATGCCGAAGGTAAAGGAAAATTTATTGAACGCATCAAATGTTCATCTTTAGTATATAATTAGTTATCCTCATGTAGATTTCAAAATTTATTTAAACATTTATGGTACGAAAGTAAGTATGTATAAGATCGTCTGTCTCATTGTCAGTATAATAGTCCGGTAGATTAGTGTTTCATAAAACACGCTAGCGGAATTCATAAGCATGATGTATGCAGGAGATTAGCTACACTTCGTTGTGCTTGTTGCAAACATATTTATGATTCAAGCATTTTTTCGAGGAATTTCATTACTGTAATAAATACACCGAATAAACTATTTTCAACCGTTACTATAGTATATTATAATAATTCTCCAATGCTTTCTTTTCTGCTTCCTACTATCGTACATTATGTGTAATTATATTGCAGTCTTCTAATCATATAAATGTACTACGAATATGTAAAAATGATTTCTATCAAAGATTATCAAAATTGCAACTGTAGATTGACGTAATAGTAAACATAAAAAATAGACGAAATTTAAAGTAACAATTGTATATAGAATAATTACATTAATTATATGTATACTGTAATACACACTTGAATTTTCAAAAAAAAAGAACGAATACTTTTATTCATAGTAACATAACATTAAAGTTTTAAAAAAATGTAGGATGGACAACTTAATTTTTGAAAAGATATTTTTTTTTTTAAATCTTTTACAGAGATTTGAAGATTTAAAGAAACAGTATAACTTTCGTTTAACAAATTTTTTAATATCTTCAGTCGTTTATGATTTACAAACAATTACATAGAATTATTCGAATACAAAGGTTGAGTTTACCCTTGAAGTAGAAAACGGTCATCAAGGAATTACGATAATGTTTTTAGATGGGATTTGTAAATAATTGTACAAAATTCCTCAAAAATCGACGTGATAACAAATTGACGTGAAACCGGAGTTACCTTGCAAATATAATAGAAAATATTATAGTTGATTAGTCAGCGAGAAAAGTTTTACAGTTTTTAACACTAAACCTACCGGCATATAATGTATACTTAATTTGAAATTAAAAATGAAGTTAAAAAATAAATAAACAAACGACGAAACATAAATTAGTACACGCATTTATTCTTTATCTTGATGAAAATCAATTCTGATTTCAAGAAATGTATTCTAACAAAATATGTACCTTATGATAAGAAGCTTGTGGAGCGGTCTTTTGACCGGTTTGGTAGTTTTAGTGTTAAGAACTAAAATTCGAATAAATCACTGATAGCTCGTCCCTTTAACTTAACAAACAAAAATTTTCAATAGTAAATTGTGTTTTTAACAAACGGTTGAAACATGAAAACTAGTGAAATGTAGAAAATATACATATTGTTCGACGATCACTCATGTCTTTATACATAAATGTATGAAATATTGTTTCAGGGAGCCATACGATTACAACCCACTTCTTGTTAGCGCTTTATCCGTCGTAAAATTCAAAAAAGCGCGTATGGATCTGGTGCGTGTGGAAACGAGGAATCAAATCCTATTTTCATTTCTGTCCGTCGGCTGGGGTTTGCTGGCCGATATTGACATTGAAAGTGAACGTTTACGAGCGATTGGTGGTCAAAGATTCACTGTGTGGACAATCGCCCGGCTGATAGGCTTAAGAACATACAGAGGCAAAGTATCTTATTTGCCCTGCGATAGAGTACCATCTGTTGAAAATTTAGGTAATGGTAAGGCTTACAGCGAGTACACGAAAGAGTCGCAGTTATCACACTCCAGGAGCTGTGGTGATGATTTAGACCGGTAAGTTTAATTAATCCATTTACCATTGATATATCAACGCTGCGATCAACGTAATAAACTCACTCTAAAAATATTATCAATAACAAAAAAGTAGCAAAGCTTATATAAACTCGCATAGATATAATATTTGTTTTAATGTATCTATCATTACCTGCTACATTATGATAATCGCTATCAAATTTAAAATTAGAACTACTAACCACTCAGAATAAGTGGTTTTAGATTGCATACTCCATAATACAAAATTTTGTTGCCATCTTTTGGTCAAAATGACTTATATTTTTGTAATATGAAGAATGTAGATGTTAGTTGATACCTTAGTATTTAATTATTCATTTTTATACTACATTTTCAATTTAAAAGTAAGTGTCCATTTAGCGTCGGTAATTCTAGTATTAATTGAATTTAGTATTCGATATAATTTGATTACTTAATTATTACTTACGTAAGTATAAGTTGAATTGATTCATTGTTATTTATCTCTGTTGCATTTATGAATATTTCTCTGGTAAATAAGGTAACTCACTTAACACGTTTGTTACGATACAAACACGTTGGACTTTCTCTGGGTGCGAGAATAGAATACGTCTGTCTGGAATGTAGCCCAAATGTCTGTGGATAAGCGGAACAAAATTCTGACTTGCTAATGATTATGGAGATACTCAAGGTCATTCGAGTTCAGTACCGTCGGTGCTTTTAAATGAACTCCTCGTTTACACTTTTAGAAATGAAAAGTACTTTCCAACAAAAACTATATTTTTAGTAAATGTATAATTACGATCATAATATGAAACTAACAAGGAAAGTAATGAAAGGGCTAAAAAATAAGAGATGCATATTTTCTTTTATTTTGCAACAGGCTAACAAAAACTGCCATAAATAGGAGGATTTTTTTTAATGAAAAGTTTCATAGTTTTTATGTACATATAAGCTGACCAAAAACATCGTAAAAAAATTTTGTACACGAAAAAACTTGTTTGTAATATTATTAAAAAAATAATCACAGTTTACTTAACAACGGCAAAAAGCAGAATTTATTGACGTAGCATATATGTTTTCCTCCTACAATTTTGCGTATTTTAGTATTATATTTATTTTAATTGACATATTTTAATATTATTTCATATTTTAACTGGCATAGTTTAATATTATTTCATATTTCAATATTGCATATATTTTTATCTAAAATTTTTTCTTTATAAGTGGTATACATTCTTATAATTAGTGTTTTTAGAAAAGTGTTTCGTTACAGTTTTTCAGAATTCACGGTACAGCTTATGTTATTATACATATACAGAATTTATTGTAACAAATAGTTCGGAACGCAAACGTTTTGCGAAATTTAGTAAGTGAAGGCGTATCGATAACGAAAGTTGCTTTTAGAGGATGTCCTTTTTATTTTATCGAGAACAGTTTGTATTTCTGAGCAATTTAACAAATTTTTTTTGTGTGGATGTTGCTTTTAATATTAAAAGATTATAAACAGTATTTGAGGTCTTATTTTGTAGATAAAACGTTATTTCTGAAATAAATAAAATGTTATTTTTCAAAAATATTTGAATGCTTGCAAAAAGTAACCATTTTTAAAACCTTCTTATGACTTCGAACGTATAGGTTAATACTATTCAAGGCTTTAAATTGTATGTTGCATCAATGCTAATACAATCAATCCATAATTGGATAAATTTGTGTATTTTCACCTTTTCGAACGATTCGACTCATCAAAGTACATAATTCAATTCTCATCGCTAGTAGTCTGATTCTTCGTTACCTTTGCACTTGCTATAGCTGCACTCAACGACTTCTTCCTAATGGCTTATCATGTTTAAATAATTATTTATGCACTACTTGAAAATCATCATCAGATACTTCCGTCATTAAAAACATACACTTCGGATTATAATTTTCTTGATTTTGTTATGCAATAGATCCTTTTTTCCTTGCATATTAAAATTTTCAATAATTTTATTTAAGAAAAAACGGAAATGATTGTTATTATTAAATTAATACGAAACAATTTTGACAGTAATATCAAAATAAAAGTTCCGTACTGTGATTATGTTAAATAAATTTTAGGAATTATTACTGTTTTCGGGTCAATGATTCTGACATTATTATAATTTCGCTAATATTATGATGAAATTTAGAGTGTTCCACGATTATTCCGTTACATATTCCGACTAAACGATTGCATTTACTTATTAGCATCTCTATCGTTTTTAAACGAACAGTTTAAATAAGTTAGACAACATAATCGTGGCAATACTGGTGTTCCTCAGAAAAATGTTTTAGACGTAACAACTTTTGCCACCAATCACAAGTAATAGTTGCTACAATACATGTGCCATAGTGGTTTATTATCTGATACATAGCAAAATTCTACTGGATGTTTAAAATGAGCTGGTTTTAACTAAAAACACCGCTTTTATACCATGAAATCTGTTTGTTACCTAACAAAATGGATATGTAAAATGCATATAACTTTAACAATAAGTGTTTTTTAATGTCCAATACGAATTTAATAAAATAAACAGCTATGTATAACGCAAATATAATTGTTTCTCATTTATGCTTAAAAGATTGTTTAATATCGTCCGACATGATCCGTATCAGCAGGCGCGTGCGCGTAATGTATTTAAGAAAAATCTAACGAACTGTAGAAGGCAATTTATACAGGGTGGGTCACCACATTTTGCCATCTAGACTTGCGTCATTATTATTACTTATAGCAAACAATGTTTCAGGTGAAGTTGAATGGTTTTGAGAGGGGCACATGCTGGTGGTACATTTTTTTTGTATGTGGACGTGTAAGGGACATATGAAGGTCATTAATGTTTTTTTAAATGTAATCATATATTTTTTATTGTATCAGCCGATGCTTCTTTATATTCTTTACAAAAAAGTATTAATCTATTTATGTAAAAAAATCATTAGTTTAGGAGATATTTTAATTCTAGCTTGTTAGGAAATCGTGACTCTTGGTCAATATTATGAATTACCCTAGCTCAGGGGTCGGCAACCTGCGGCTCGCGTGCCACATGCGGCTCTTTGGATGTGAAGCTACGGCTCCTTAGTTCCATACGCAAATATTGTTTATTTTATAAAAAAAAAAAAAAAAAAAAAAAAAAAACATTTAAAAATCGTTCTGAATCTATTAACGAGGATTAGGCACCGATTCTATCTCTCAGCCACTTGTACTCGCTTTTCACCGCACCGCTCCCCCGCGACACGCGTCGTCAACTGTTAGTGTTGTAAGTAAATGTTTAATTGTTTTAATTTTTTACTTAAATAATAAGTAATTATCTAATAATGCCATATATATATTATCTAATTTGTTGTGAAAAACACTACTTATATATGAATAAATAGATATTTTTTCTTACGAATAAAGAGATTCGCTTTTTTTTTATCAAAAAACTTTATTTATGCGAGTACTATTTGTTGTTGGCAAGAAAAAATTTTGCGGCTCTTTAAAAACTTTGAAATTTTGTAAATTGTAATTTTTGACTTTTCCAACTCAGAAGGTTGCCGACCCCTGCTCTAACTGAACAACAGATGTTTTTCTACACGACTTGAGATACGCTTTGTCAAAACGAATTGTGAGTTTTTGTTTTTCTTTTGTTACGCAGTAACAGTAAAATTTAGTTTCTGTCACGTCTCTAATATGGTGAATACGACGATACGGTGAATTATCACTTCATAATGAAGTATTCTAAAGAAGGAAAGATAGATATGTTATCAGTTCATTTTGAAGCTGGGAAATGTGCTTCGCATGCAGAAAGATTATACGCTAATAGATTTCCACAACGAAATCATCCATCGTGTCGTACCTTTGATTATGTTTTTAAAAAAATTTCACCAGACGGAGTATTTCTTACGCAAAAAGGCAATTCGTAATAAAACAATAACACATGAGGCAAATGAAACTTCAGTGTTAGCCACAGTTACGTTAAATCCATCCGCTAACTTTCGCGAAATCGAAAGACAAGCTGGAATTAGCCGCACAAGCATTTTACGCATACTCAAAAGGCACAAATACCATCCATATCACGTATCAAAGATTCAAGAACTGACCGCAAATGACTGTTATCAATGTATACAATTTTGTAATTGGGCTCTCTCTCAAAGAGAGAACTTTTGCAACAATGCTATGTTCACGGACGAAGCAACGTTTACGAACAATGGATCAGTGAATTCAAGAAATATGCATTAGTGGTCAACCGAAAATCCTCATTGGTTTAGACAAATGGATAATCAACATCAATGGAGTGTAAATGATTGGATGGCCATACTGAGCGATAAACTTATTGGTCCATACTTTGTCGAAGGATCACTAACCAGACCAAAATATGCACAATTTTTTATCAAACTCTCTATGAACATTTTTAGATGGTTTACCATTGCATACTCGACAAATAATGTGGATTCAACAGGATGGTTGCCGTGCTCATTATTCAAGAATATTGTAAATCCGGCGCGGCAGAACCGGGCTGTGTCCTTCCTAGTCCCTCGAGGTTATTGCCACTACGAGTCCAACTCCAAATGGTGTCAGCACCAGGTAGATGACACCTGGTAGGGCCACTGCACCTCCCATAGCACCCACGTTATCAAGGTTACCCTTGAAACTTTTGATGGGTCTCCGTCGGGGACCTTTCGGTTACCCCTACAACATATTAGTTACTACCGGTGGCATCCGTTGCTCAGAGTCCTGAAATTGGGTAGCTCCGCCGGCAGTTTTAAGGGTGAGAGTCGTGTGGTCTGCGATCACGGACTCATCTCGGATACTAGGCTTAGTTAGGGATCACCAGCCCGACACCTCAGCGACGACCGTGCACTCACCCCCTGTTTCAGTATACGTAAAGACGAACTTACCCATGTTAACAAGATTCCTCCTGTAACGTTTGATGGGTCTCCATCGAGGCAACTTTGGTTAACCTCTACAACACATTAAATTCTATCGGCGGCATTCGTTGTCCAGAAACTGAGATTGGGTAGCTCCA